TCCTCATCTCCGTCATGTTTCTGTATCATAGTATCACACGGTGAGGAGAGCGGGGGAGGGATTTCAGGGGCGCACACGGAGTATATGACACACGCCATCATGTGATGATATAGGAAGAACATTCGCCCGGGTGAATGGTTTGTATACAGATACCATAGAGTCCGGCATACTAAACGGATGAGATAAAGGCGGAGCTTGTTTATGTATTTTGTAGCTCCTCCCCCTCCAGGGTTTATTACAGTGACATTTGGGGACCCCGCCCACATTCAGCTCCGGCTGCAATACTCGCCTTCCACCCGGAGGTTTCCTGCCGTACTTCTTTATGGTCACAAGATAGTCTTCCAGCTATGCCCTTGCCCCGCCCACCTCTCACTCCGCCCACACAGAAACAGCAAAGGGGGGCGGCGCTCCGAAGCAAGCCACACCCCAGCCGCCTCAAGGAGGTCTCCCGCACGGGAAATAACCTGCTGCATTTTTTTTCCTTCTAGATGCCCCAGAAATGTGAGAGACTCCACCCAGAGGCAAAAGAGACTCCACCCATGAGGAAGAGAGACTCCACCCACGAGGAAGAGAGACTCCACCCACGAGGAAGAGAGTGCCCAGGATACAGAGAGAGACACCACTGCTCCACCCATGAGGCAGTGAGACTGCACTCAGGATACAAACGCCATTGCCCCACCCAGGAGGGAGAGAGACTCCACCCATGAGAGAGTGAGACTCCACCCATGAGGAGAGAGACTGTACTAGGATACAGAAAGAGAGACCACTTCTCCACCCAGCAGGTAGACTCCACCCATGAGGGAAAGAGACACCACTGCCCCACCCAGGAGTAGGATAGAGACTTTGCCGCTCCTCCCAGCAGAGGGAAAGACACCACGGCTCCGCCCAGGAGAGAGGCCACCCCTCCCACAGTGACATCCCCCCCTCCTCCGAGGACAAAGATGAGCAGCTGTCTAGAGAAGGTCATCGAGAAGCTGACGGCATACAAGGAAGGAGCGCTGACCGGGATGGCGGAGGTGAGACCCTTCTCCACCCAGAAGGGGGAGGGGCCGAATCCCACCAGGAACCAGACGGCAGAGCAGTGCGCGCCTAAGGTGGGGCCCGGCTCGTGCGAGGACCGACATCTCACCACCGGCTCATGTTCATCCGCAGACCGCACCACGCCGTACATCAAGAGGGAACCCTTCTCCTATGAAGAGGGGGGTCTGGGGACACTGCAGGTTAAGGAGGAGCTCCGCGACGACAGGAACTTCTTCGACATGCTGCCGCCTCTGGAGTTCAGACAGTTCAGGTCCGTCCACATTAAGGAGGAACCCCGCGAAGGGGAACTTCTCAACATGGAGGCCCCTCCTTACTTCTCAGCCAGGAGAGAAGATGGCCACCTGACCCAGAGCTCAATCTTCCCGACCCTCCCCTTGTTCTACCCTCAGCTCAGTGACTACGGGAAGGCCTGGAAGACCCCCTTCCTGTCGCACACAGGCGACAAGCCGTTCTGCTGCTCGGAGTGCGGCCGGTGCTTCTCGCAGAGGTCCTACTTCCTGTCCCACCAGAGGGTCCACTCCGGGGAGCGCCCCTTCGGCTGCTTCCGCTGCGGCAAGTCCTTCCGCCTCAAGAGCAGCTTCAACAAGCACCTGAGGAGCCACCACCAGGTGGACAACCCCTTCGCGTGCCCGCTGTGCCACAAGAGCTTCGTGCACCGCGGCCACTTCCTGGCCCACCAGCGGCTCCACGCCGAGGAGGAGAAGTTCTGCTGCTCCATGTGCGGAAAGTCCTTCATCCACCACGGGCACTTCCTGGCCCACCAGAGGAGCCACGCGGAGGAGAGCCGCTTCTCCTGCCCGCACTGCCACAAGTCCTTCATCCACCGGGGCCACTTCGCCGCCCACCTGCGGGTCCACACCGGGGAGAAGCCCTTCCTCTGCCCGGACTGCGGCAGCAGCTTCAGCACCCACCACAACCTGGTGGTCCACCAGAGGCTCCACGCCGGGTCCTCCTACACCTTCCTGTGAGGACATCTCGGGGGGGAGGATTTGTGAGCCGTCCGGGGATTGGACGTTCCTGTATGTCCACCCGGGGGCGTGTTCACCCTGAGCCCGCCTTCCCCAGCAAGGACACACTTGGAAATCTTTATGCAATCTGTGAGGACGACAATAAACTTTATTTACACACACAAAGACCTCGGCAACAAACCACATTCAGAAAGTTGGACCATCTGCCGTGTCTGTGTTCCCGGGCCGACCTGGAGGGTTCCATAACTTTATCCTCCAGCTGGACAGTCACAGTTGTATCTGGTGTCAGGGTGGAGCATATGTGTACGCCCCCCCTATGGTGTCATATGTCACATGACTGATCTCTCTGTGCTCTGATTGGTTAGCGGGAACCCAAACCTCTGCTCACATTCCCTTGGCTCACCCCTGATAGGACAGACATGAGGCGGCTTCCACATCTCAGGGAAGGGGAGGGGCCAGCTACAGCGCCAGGAGCGCACGGAGGATGTTGTCACCCCTCTTTCCAGCAGGACATCCCCCGATAGAAGACATTAGAGATGATGTCACCTCCTCTTTCCAGCAGGACATCCCCCCATAGAAGACATTAGAGATGATGTCACCTCCTCCTTCCAGCAGGACATCCCCCCATAGAAGACATTAGAGATGATGTCACCTCTCCTTCCAGCAGGACATCCGCCGATAGAAGACATTAGAGATGATGTCACCTCCTCCTTCCAGCAGGACATCCCCCCATAGAAGACATTAGAGATGATGTCACCTCCTCCTTCCAGCAGGACATCCCCCCATAGAAGACATTAGAGATGATGTCACCTCCTCCTTCCAGCAGGACATCCCCCCATAGAAGATTTCTCCATGTCCAGTTGTGTGTAGGGTGATCTCCCCTCCAGGCCCTCAGATGGAATATAACATCATGGCTGGCGGAGGAAGACACACGTATGTCCTCTGCTCCTCATCTCCGTCATGTTTCTGTATCATAGTATCACACGGTGAGGAGAGCGGGGGAGGGATTTCAGGGGCGCACACGGAGTATATGACACACGCCATCATGTGATGATATAGGAAGAACATTCGCCCGGGTGAATGGTTTGTATACAGATACCATAGAGTCCGGCATACTAAACGGATGAGATAAAGGCGGAGCTTGTTTATGTATTTTGTAGCTCCTCCCCCTCCAGGGTTTATTACAGTGACATTTGGGGACCCCGCCCACATTCAGCTCCGGCTGCAATACTCGCCTTCCACCCGGAGGTTTCCTGCCGTACTTCTTTATGGTCACAAGATAGTCTTCCAGCTATGCCCTTGCCCCGCCCACCTCTCACTCCGCCCACACAGAAACAGCAAAGGGGGGCGGCGCTCCGAAGCAAGCCACACCCCAGCCGCCTCAAGGAGGTCTCCCGCACGGGAAATAACCTGCTGCATTTTTTTTCCTTCTAGATGCCCCAGAAATGTGAGAGACTCCACCCAGAGGCAAAAGAGACTCCACCCATGAGGAAGAGAGACTCCACCCACGAGGAAGAGAGACTCCACCCACGAGGAAGAGAGTGCCCAGGATACAGAGAGAGACACCACTGCTCCACCCATGAGGCAGTGAGACTGCACTCAGGATACAAACGCCATTGCCCCACCCAGGAGGGAGAGAGACTCCACCCATGAGAGAGTGAGACTCCACCCATGAGGAGAGAGACTGTACTAGGATACAGAAAGAGAGACCACTTCTCCACCCAGCAGGTAGACTCCACCCATGAGGGAAAGAGACACCACTGCCCCACCCAGGAGTAGGATAGAGACTTTGCCGCTCCTCCCAGCAGAGGGAAAGACACCACGGCTCCGCCCAGGAGAGAGGCCACCCCTCCCACAGTGACATCCCCCCCTCCTCCGAGGACAAAGATGAGCAGCTGTCTAGAGAAGGTCATCGAGAAGCTGACGGCATACAAGGAAGGAGCGCTGACCGGGATGGCGGAGGTGAGACCCTTCTCCACCCAGAAGGGGGAGGGGCCGAATCCCACCAGGAACCAGACGGCAGAGCAGTGCGCGCCTAAGGTGGGGCCCGGCTCGTGCGAGGACCGACATCTCACCACCGGCTCATGTTCATCCGCAGACCGCACCACGCCGTACATCAAGAGGGAACCCTTCTCCTATGAAGAGGGGGGTCTGGGGACACTGCAGGTTAAGGAGGAGCTCCGCGACGACAGGAACTTCTTCGACATGCTGCCGCCTCTGGAGTTCAGACAGTTCAGGTCCGTCCACATTAAGGAGGAACCCCGCGAAGGGGAACTTCTCAACATGGAGGCCCCTCCTTACTTCTCAGCCAGGAGAGAAGATGGCCACCTGACCCAGAGCTCAATCTTCCCGACCCTCCCCTTGTTCTACCCTCAGCTCAGTGACTACGGGAAGGCCTGGAAGACCCCCTTCCTGTCGCACACAGGCGACAAGCCGTTCTGCTGCTCGGAGTGCGGCCGGTGCTTCTCGCAGAGGTCCTACTTCCTGTCCCACCAGAGGGTCCACTCCGGGGAGCGCCCCTTCGGCTGCTTCCGCTGCGGCAAGTCCTTCCGCCTCAAGAGCAGCTTCAACAAGCACCTGAGGAGCCACCACCAGGTGGACAACCCCTTCGCGTGCCCGCTGTGCCACAAGAGCTTCGTGCACCGCGGCCACTTCCTGGCCCACCAGCGGCTCCACGCCGAGGAGGAGAAGTTCTGCTGCTCCATGTGCGGAAAGTCCTTCATCCACCACGGGCACTTCCTGGCCCACCAGAGGAGCCACGCGGAGGAGAGCCGCTTCTCCTGCCCGCACTGCCACAAGTCCTTCATCCACCGGGGCCACTTCGCCGCCCACCTGCGGGTCCACACCGGGGAGAAGCCCTTCCTCTGCCCGGACTGCGGCAGCAGCTTCAGCACCCACCACAACCTGGTGGTCCACCAGAGGCTCCACGCCGGGTCCTCCTACACCTTCCTGTGAGGACATCTCGGGGGGGAGGATTTGTGAGCCGTCCGGGGATTGGACGTTCCTGTATGTCCACCCGGGGGCGTGTTCACCCTGAGCCCGCCTTCCCCAGCAAGGACACACTTGGAAATCTTTATGCAATCTGTGAGGACGACAATAAACTTTATTTACACACACAAAGACCTCGGCAACAAACCACATTCAGAAAGTTGGACCATCTGCCGTGTCTGTGTTCCCGGGCCGACCTGGAGGGTTCCATAACTTTATCCTCCAGCTGGACAGTCACAGTTGTATCTGGTGTCAGGGTGGAGCATATGTGTACGCCCCCCCTATGGTGTCATATGTCACATGACTGATCTCTCTGTGCTCTGATTGGTTAGCGGGAACCCAAACCTCTGCTCACATTCCCTTGGCTCACCCCTGATAGGACAGACATGAGGCGGCTTCCACATCTCAGGGAAGGGGAGGGGCCAGCTACAGCGCCAGGAGCGCACGGAGGATGTTGTCACCCCTCTTTCCAGCAGGACATCCCCCGATAGAAGACATTAGAGATGATGTCACCTCCTCTTTCCAGCAGGACATCCCCCCATAGAAGACATTAGAGATGATGTCACCTCCTCCTTCCAGCAGGACATCCGCCGATAGAAGACATTAGAGATGAAGTCACCTCCTTCCAGCAGTACATCCCCCAATAGAAGACATTAGAGATGAAGTCACCTCCTCCTTCCAGCAGGACATCCCCCGATAGAAGACATTAGAGATGATGTCACCTCCTCCTTCCAGCAGGACATCCGCCGATGGAAGACATTAGAGATGATGTCACCTCCTCCTTCCAGCAGGACATCTCCCCATAGAAGACATTAGAGATGATGTCACCTCTCCTTCCAGCAGGACATCCGCCGATAGAAGACATTAGAGATGATGTCACCCCTCCTTCCAGCAGGACATCCGCCGATAGAAGACATTAGAGATGAGGTCACCTCCTCCTTCCAGCAGGACATCTGCCGATAGAAGACATTAGAGATGATGTCACCCCCTCCTTCCAGCAGGACATCCACCAATAGAAGACATTAGAGATGATGTCACCTCCTCCTTCCAGCAGGACATCCCCCGATAGAAGACATTAGAGATGATGTCACCTCCTCCTTCCAGCAGGACATCCCCCAATAGAAGACATTAGAGATGATGTCACCCCCTCCTTCCAGCAGGACATCCCCCGATAGAAGACATTAGAGATGATGTCACCTCCTCCTTCCAGCAGGACATCCCCCGATAGAAGACATTAGAGATGATGTCACCTCCTCCTTCCAGCAGGACATCCGCCGATGGAAGACATTAGAGATGATGTCACCTCCTCCTTCCAGCAGGACATCTCCCCATAGAAGACATTAGAGATGATGTCACCTCTCCTTCCAGCAGGACATCCGCCGATAGAAGACATTAGAGATGATGTCACCCCTCCTTCCAGCAGGACATCCGCCGATAGAAGACATTAGAGATGAGGTCACCTCCTCCTTCCAGCAGGACATCTGCCGATAGAAGACATTAGAGATGATGTCACCCCCTCCTTCCAGCAGGACATCCACCAATAGAAGACATTAGAGATGAAGTCACCTCCTCCTTCCAGCAGGACATCCCCCAATAGAAGATATTAGAGATGAAGTCACCCCTCCTTCCAGCAGGACATCCACCGATAGAGACGATGTTCCTTGTCATGCAGGAATCGAGGGGTCCTTCACACCTCAACTCCATATTGTTCCAAAAGATCCATAAATACCTCCCAATGGAACCAAAAGATGTAAATAAAATCAGTGATGGCCCCCAAGTTCTGCTTGTTCTGTTCTTTTTATCCCCTCCCCCTGATTCCGTGTGCGTCTTTTATCTTCCTGGCAACAAATAAAACCTCAAAGCAAATCTAATACACTCTATAGTTAGATCAATGGGAACCCCCCTCCCCCAATGATGGAGGTCAGGGGTCTCCAGTGAAGGTTCTAGTAATACTTCATCATACAAAGACATTGTAGACAATGGTGGATGTTCAGCCTTGTGGTCACAGCTTGGTGAAGACCCTTTTCTGTTCCACCATGACTGTCCCCGGTGTACGAAGACAGCTCCATACAGACATGGTGTGACCAGCTTGGTGAAGACCCTTCTCTGTTCCTCCATGACTGTCCCCGGTGTACGAAGACAGCTCCATACAGACATGGTGTGACCAGCTTGGTGAAGACCCTTCTCTGTTCCTCCATGACTGTCCCCGGTGTACGAAGACAGCTCCATACAGACATGGTGTGACCAGCTTGGTGAAGACCCTTCTCTGTTCCTCCATGACTGTCCCCGGTGTACGAAGACAGCTCCATACAGACATGGTGTGACCAGCTTGGTGAAGACCCTTCTCTGTTCCTCCATGACTGTCCCCGGTGTACGAAGACAGCTCCATACAGACATGGTGTGACCAGCTTGGTGAAGACCCTTCTCTGTTCCTCCATGACTGTCCCCGGTGTACGAAGACAGCTCCATACAGACATGGTGTGACCAGCTTGGTGAAGACCCTTCTCTGTTCCTCCATGACTGTCCCCGGTGTACGAAGACAGCTCCATACAGACATGGTGTGACCAGCTTGGTGAAGACCCTTCTCTGTTCCTCCATGACTGTCCCCGGTGTACGAAGACAGCTCCATACAGACATGGTGTGACCAGCTTGGTGAAGACCCTTCTCTGTTCCTCCATGACTGTCCCCGGTGTACGAAGACAGCTCCATACAGACATGGTGTGACCAGCTTGGTGAAGACCCTTCTCTGTTCCTCCATGACTGTCCCCGGTGTACGAAGACAGCTCCATACAGACATGGTGTGACCAGCTTGGTGAAGACCCTTCTCTGTTCCTCCATGACTGTCCCCGGTGTACGAAGACAGCTCCATACAGACATGGTGTGACCAGCTTGGTGAAGACCCTTCTCTGTTCCTCCATGACTGTCCCCGGTGTACGAAGACAGCTCCATACAGACATGGTGTGACCAGCTTGGTGAAGACCCTTCTCTGTTCCTCCATGACTGTCCCCGGTGTACGAAGACAGCTCCATACAGACATGGTGTGACCAGCTTGGTGAAGACCCTTCTCTGTTCCTCCATGACTGTCCCCGGTGTACGAAGACAGCTCCATACAGACATGGTGTGACCAGCTTGGTGAAGACCCTTCTCTGTTCCTCCATGACTGTCCCCGGTGTACGAAGACAGCTCCATACAGACATGGTGTGACCAGCTTGGTGAAGACCCTTCTCTGTTCCTCCATGACTGTCCCCGGTGTACGAAGACAGCTCCATACAGACATGGTGTGACCAGCTTGGTGAAGACCCTTCTCTGTTCCTCCATGACTGTCCCCGGTGTACGAAGACAGCTCCATACAGACATGGTGTGACCAGCTTGGTGAAGACCCTTCTCTGTTCCTCCATGACTGTCCCCGGTGTACGAAGACAGCTCCATACAGACATGGTGTGACCAGCTTGGTGAAGACCCTTCTCTGTTCCTCCATGACTGTCCCCGGTGTACGAAGACAGCTCCATACAGACATGGTGTGACCAGCTTGGTGAAGACCCTTCTCTGTTCCTCCATGACTGTCCCCGGTGTACGAAGACAGCTCCATACAGACATGGTGTGACCAGCTTGGTGAAGACCCTTCTCTGTTCCTCCATGACTGTCCCCGGTGTACGAAGACAGCTCCATACAGACATGGTGTGACCAGCTTGGTGAAGACCCTTCTCTGTTCCTCCATGACTGTCCCCGGTGTACGAAGACAGCTCCATACAGACATGGTGTGACCAGCTTGGTGAAGACCCTTCTCTGTTCCTCCATGACTGTCCCCGGTGTACGAAGACAGCTCCATACAGACATGGTGTGACCAGCTTGGTGAAGACCCTTCTCTGTTCCTCCATGACTGTCCCCGGTGTACGAAGACAGCTCCATACAGACATGGTGTGACCAGCTTGGTGAAGACCCTTCTCTGTTCCTCCATGACTGTCCCCGGTGTACGAAGACAGCTCCATACAGACATGGTGTGACCAGCTTGGTGAAGACCCTTCTCTGTTCCTCCATGACTGTCCCCGGTGTACGAAGACAGCTCCATACAGACATGGTGTGACCAGCTTGGTGAAGACCCTTCTCTGTTCCTCCATGACTGTCCCCGGTGTACGAAGACAGCTCCATACAGACATGGTGTGACCAGCTTGGTGAAGACCCTTCTCTGTTCCTCCATGACTGTCCCCGGTGTACGAAGACAGCTCCATACAGACATGGTGTGACCAGCTTGGTGAAGACCCTTCTCTGTTCCTCCATGACTGTCCCCGGTGTACGAAGACAGCTCCATACAGACATGGTGTGACCAGCTTGGTGAAGACCCTTCTCTGTTCCTCCATGACTGTCCCCGGTGTACGAAGACAGCTCCATACAGACATGGTGTGACCAGCTTGGTGAAGACCCTTCTCTGTTCCTCCATGACTGTCCCCGGTGTACGAAGACAGCTCCATACAGACATGGTGTGACCAGCTTGGTGAAGACCCTTCTCTGTTCCTCCATGACTGTCCCCGGTGTACGAAGACAGCTCCATACAGACATGGTGTGACCAGCTTGGTGAAGACCCTTCTCTGTTCCTCCATGACTGTCCCCGGTGTACGAAGACAGCTCCATACAGACATGGTGTGACCAGCTTGGTGAAGACCCTTCTCTGTTCCTCCATGACTGTCCCCGGTGTACGAAGACAGCTCCATACAGACATGGTGTGACCAGCTTGGTGAAGACCCTTCTCTGTTCCTCCATGACTGTCCCCGGTGTACGAAGACAGCTCCATACAGACATGGTGTGACCAGCTTGGTGAAGACCCTTCTCTGTTCCTCCATGACTGTCCCCGGTGTACGAAGACAGCTCCATACAGACATGGTGTGACCAGCTTGGTGAAGACCCTTCTCTGTTCCTCCATGACTGTCCCCGGTGTACGAAGACAGCTCCATACAGACATGGTGTGACCAGCTTGGTGAAGACCCTTCTCTGTTCCTCCATGACTGTCCCCG